GTTTGGAAAGGTGAAATCCATGTTGCACTCTAGTCTGAGCCTGCGTGAAGAAGTCTGCTAGCTGTAACTCAGAAGGCACATACTGAAGAGCAACAACATGATCCTGCACAGCAGCGCGCACATAAGAAGTATCAACGCCAATATGCTTGGTAAGCCCATGCTTCACGGGATCCCGTGCAATACTGATAGCACCTGTACTGTCTGACAAAAGGGTGGTAGGTGTAGTAACATAAACACCAAAATCCTCCAGTAACCATCGTAACCAAGTCACCTCTGCCAGAAGAGACATAGCTCGCAACTCAGCCTCTGCACTCGAACGGGAAACTGCAGTCTGTTTCTTCGTCTTCCAGGCAATGAGAGAACCACCAAGACAAACACAGTAAGCAGAAAGTGAACGGCGATCCGTAGGATCACTAGCCCACTTAGCATCCGAATAGGCCTGGAGCTGTAACGAGCTGGAGCGGGAAAAAAAAGATGGTGAGAGATCATGCCACGAAGATATCGTAGAACACGAAGAAGGTGACTAGTAGTGCACCAAAGTGAGAGAAGAAACAAACTGACTCAAGATATGGACAGGATAGGAGATATCCGGACGAGTGACAGCGAGATAGATAAGACTCCCAACAAGATGACGATAACGTGTCGAATCAGACAAGGGCTCACCATCAGAAGCGCAAAGGTGAACATTGAGCTACATAGGAGTCTCAACAGTGCGCTCATCACTAAGAGCCGCACGAGTAAGAAGATCCTGGATATACTTTTCTTGGGAAATAAAAAAGGCATCAGAGGTGGGAGGAAACCTCAATCCCAAGAAAGTAACGAAGAGGACCAAGATCGGACATAAGAAACCGCTCACGGAGATGGGCCTTGATAAAGGCAATGTACTCAGGGTCATCGCCAGTGATGATCATGTCATCAACATATAGAAGAAGAAGAGTCCGACCACGAGTTGCAAGGTGGACAAACAGCGCCGGATCATGAGCACTCGCTGAAAAACCAGCGGCGGTCACCACAGATGCAAAACGCTCAAACCAGGCACAAGGGGCTTGCTTAAGGCCATAAAGAGAGCGACGAAAACGACATACCATGCCATCAGGAACAGAATACCCTGGTGGTGGCTGCATATAAAACTCCTCACGCAACTCACCATTAAGAAAGGCATTCTAACATCAAGCTGAGAAACAGACCAATGGTGAATAGAGGCCACAGCGAAAAGTGTGCGGCTAGTGGTCATATGGGTCACAGGAGCAAATGTCCCATCGTAATCACGACCATGCTCCTGCTGAAAGCCACGAGCCACAAGACGAGCTTTGTAACGCTCAAGAGAACCATCGGAGCGAGTCTTAACTTTGTAGACCCACTTACAAGTGATGGGACGAACACCGGAAGGAAGAGAAACAAGATCCCACGTGTCAGTGCGCTCAAGAGCAGGAAGCTCCTCTGCCATCGCAAACTGCTATTCAGGATGAACAATAGCATCGCGATAAGAGGTAGGCTCAAGTACAGCCGAAAGACCATATCGACTAGGAGAATAGCAGTCAGGGGGAGGGCAAGGCCGAGCCTGAAGACCATAAGTCGGCTGAGATGAGGAGGACGCACCAGAAGTAGATGGCTCGTCAATGGATTTATCCGCAACACATGGACGACGAGTATAATGGAAAGGAAAGGAGGGAAGAGGTGGAATCACTGGAGGTGGAGACGGCGAATGTATCGATGATGACGATGGAGAAGGGGAAGGTATCGGTGATGAAGGTGGAGAAGGGGAAGGTATCGATGATGAAGGTGGAGAGTCATGTGATGAGAAGAAACTGTAGGAGAAGACGGCATCGGATCTGCAACAGCAGGACGAGGAATAGGAATGCTGGGCACAGAGGTAGGTGAGTCCGGAAACGTAAGAAAAGAGATGTCCTGTGCTGAAAAAGCCGAGGAGAATGGACGCGGGTAGAAGGGACGAGACTCCTCAAAAGTCACATCCCGGGAAATACGCATCCAGCGACCGATGAGATCCCAACATCGATAGCCCTTATGCTCATCACTATATCCGAGAAAGACACACTCAACAAACTGAGCGGTCAGTTTGGTGCGTTCACGAGGGGCAAGCAAAACATAGCAAACGCAACCAAACAAACGAAGCGCCGAATAATCAGGAGGATGACCAGAAAGATGCTCAAGAGGAATACCACCCTATAGAGCAGTAGAAGGTTGAATGTTGATGAGATAGGTGGAAGTGGTAACAACCTCAGCCCAAAAGTGAGGCGGAAGAGAGGCGGCGATCATCATCAAACGTGCCTCCTCAAGAAGGTGACGATGCCTGCGCTCAGCCACACCATTCTGAGCATGAGCACCAGGGCAAGAGAACTGAGTAAGAGTACCCTGCTCAGCAAGAAATCCTCGCAGTGCATGAGAGATATACTCACCAACTGAATCTGCGCGAAAAACACGAATAGGAGTGGAAAACTAGGTGTGAACCATGGCAGCAAATTTTTTGTATATAGATCAGACCTCACTACGAGAAGACATGAAATAGATCCAAGTGTACCGAGAAAAATCGTCTACAAAGATAATATAGTAGCGATGACCACCTTTCAAAGCGAAGGGAGCCGAACCCCAAACATCAGTGAACGAGATCAAAAGGACGCTCGGACACCGACTCACTGTGAGGGTAGGGCAGCTGAATCTGCTTACCGAGTCTACAACCCAGACAATCCAACGACGCATTACCGGAGACAGACCCCAGAACACCGTGATGAACCAAAGACGAGACGAGAACCACATAAATGGCCAAGATGATGATGCCACTGCTGAAAAGAGCTGGTAGATGCAGCTATAGGGGCTGCGAGACTGGCGGCGGTGGCAACGGAGGGAAGACGAAGCCAGTCAAGCTCCCAAGACCATCGGAGCGTTGAGGGCCAGCACCAAGCAGAGCACCTGTGCGACGATCCTGAACAGAACACGAATCAAAGTCAAGAATGACCATACAACTAGAGTCAACAATCTGACCACCGGATATCAGTTGCATGGTAAGCCGAAGAACATGAGTGACAGAGGGAACATGAAATGAAGAAGTGCTAAGGGTGCCTCGACTAGCTACAGGGAGGGGAGTGCCATCAGCCGTAAGAACACGAACAGGAGACTCGACAGGTCGAACGGAGGTCAAAGTGAAAGAATCATGAGTCATATGAAAAGAAGCTCCAGTATCAAGAATCCATGGGGATGTACCTGAATGAGTTGAAGGTGGTTTCTCAATGCCAGAAGAGTTAGTCACATAACCTGTAGAAACTGTCGGTGAAGAATCCCAAGCATCAAGCAGGCATCGCAGCTGTGCAATCTCACGCGTAGACAGGGACACGGCAGAAGCTTCGGTAGAAGAGGTCGACGTAGAAACATCTGACGACGATGAGCAGTCGCCTATGTTTTTAAGGCGTCGCCTAAGCGTCGCCTAGTCGTCGCCTAAGCGTCAAGGCGCCCCAGGATGGCAAGGCGTCTACCCCGCCTTAGACAGACATGAAGTGTACGGCTGTGGCTGCCCTAGTTCTGGCTGCTCCTGGGGCTTGGAGATGACGGCCCCGCTGTCTCCCGGCACCATGAAGAGGAGGGAGGACTGGGGGCTCCTGGGGCTTGCTGCTGTGAGGGAGAAGGGTGGGGCCATGAAGAGGAGGGAGGGAGGACCAGAAGGGTATGGCTTCGTGGCGGCTGTGGTGGGAAAGAAGGGAAGGAGATAGTGGAATTAGGTCACGGGGGTGTATATGGCCACTAGATGGGCTTTTGGGCCACTGGGAGGTGCATAAGTAGTGGCCCATCTCTCAGCCATTGCTCTTTTTCTAGTATTAATATGTGCAGACCTATTGATGACTCTTTTCCTGCAATGTTTAAGGCGTCGCCTTGCCTCGCCTTACCGCCTCGCCTTGGCGCTTAGGCGTCAGAGCGGCCCTCCTCCGCCTTATGACGCTTTACCGCCTTAAAAACATAGGCAGTCGCCACCACCCATGGAAGTCGCGTGGAGTCGACCGAGAGTAGCGAGTCGACATAGAGCCACATGGGGAGTCGACGTAGAGCGGTCACCACCGTGCTCGGAAGCCGCGAGAGGAGTCAGCATAGAGTGGTCACCGCCGCGCGCGGAGCGGTCATCGATGCGCGCGGAAACCGCGACAGGAGTCGATGTAGAGCATGCACCACCATCATGGTCAAAAGCCGCGAGAAGAGTCGACGAATAACGACCATCACAGCCTGCTGAAGACGCCATAGAGGACAAAGTCACAGACGGACGAGCACCAAGCACCGAGCGACGGCGCATGTGTGAGACGGGATCAATATACAGAACACCGTCAGAAGTCTTCATGCAGCGACGGGAATGCAGGCCTGGTGTAAACGCCATATCAATTTTTTTAGTACTCTTTTTTTTCTCTCTTTTTTTTAAAACACCAAGGAACAACCAACAGAATCAACCCAAAAGGCAGACGTGCACCCAGTGGGCTGAACGAAGAGCAACCAGCATT